GCACCCAGTAATATCAATTGACAAACGTTCCACCAAATTTTCCATGGACATTCCATCTCTTAAATTTTCCAATTGTTTCAAAACTTCTTGAATATTACCATCCAATTGTTTTTCACGATATTTAATTTCATTGATTAAGAATCTTCTTTGTTCAAGTCTTTCTAGATTTTGATGTTCCCATTCATGACCATATGATTCGATTAATGAAATTATTGAGGGACTTCCATCATGACCGTGATACCACTCAGAATAAGCGTCATAAACGTTTAGGAGATCTGTTAATTTTGGAAGAATATAAAATGGTGGGGCTGTTGACACAGTTTGAGATATAGAATATGTAATATTATTAGATGGATAAGAAGGTAATTGTCTGGATGATCCTTGCGAATCGATTGTCATTGCTAACTTAAAAAAAAAAAAAAAAGAAAAAGTAACTGATTTATAATGTAATAGGCAATGATGCAATCTTTAGGTAAGCGCCTAAAATTTTTTTGGTTGAATTGACTAAATAATTTCACATGGTTGCAGAAGTCAAAAAATTTATTATAAAGTTTATAGCCTAAACAGCAAATATTATATATAATGATAATATATTTCTCTTTAGAGACGCTCCAAAGATAATTAGTATATTATGGATGAAAAAAGAAATGCTTTAATAGTGACTTGAGAGAAACTTGAGAGATCTTGTATCAAAGTTGTCAAACAGTAATCAATGGAACTTTGCTATTTTTTACACTGTGAAGATATAACTAGCAGCTAACGGTAGCGTAAATTTCAAAGAACTTGAAAATTTTTGTTGGGATTAGTGTTGGCAGGCGAAACTATCTTTGGCAAATGGCGAAAGACGAAACTAAACCGGCGAAAGACGAAACTCTGGCGAAACGGCGAAACTCTGGCGAAACTGCGAAACTCCGGCGAAACCTCTGGTAAATTGAAACCCCTGAGAAAGTCAAAATTCGGCGAAGATCAAGCCCTCTAAGACTTTAGAAAAGACTGTGCCATGTTAGTAAATCAAATATTTTGCATGTTGCTATTAAGCACAGCATGCGGCTTATTTAAAAATGTACAAAAGCAATAAACAAAGTGATAACTTTTTGTTTGTATTC